TCAGGTTCCGATCCAACTTGATATGCATTGACGCCTAAAAATAGTATAGCTTCATAGGCTCAAAAATTGACTGACTGGTTTAAACATAAAACTTTGCATGGAATAACAGAAGTTTATAGTCGCCACACTACATGTAGCATACGAAGCATGACAAAGGAGATTAAAAAGAGAGATAATCCACAGAAGTGTGAGGGGAAAAGAAAAGTAGTGTGGTAAGAGCTGGCTGCTAGCCAAAATTGGTGGACAGTAATTTACGTCAATGTTTACGTCCCAAATATTGGTCGTGAGTTAAATGAGAACAAAGGCTTTGCGTAGGCGGACACCGTCAACATATAGGTGATTTGACATTCGAGAAACAGCTACAAAGAGATGCACGGTTAACTTCCGTGAGAAACAACCAATCAGAAGACTGTTTTTCTGCTAACAATAATCTATAATATGTACATGGAAATCTATAAATATTTGTTGATTTCCTTAATAAAGGATCTGTTTACTGGTCCTTGTCTTCTCTTGTTACAGTAGTAATATGCATCTGCGCCACCCTTGACAACGATTTTGAGCCATATCACCAATTTTAATTGAATTTGAGATTTTCCCGTCGATTGATTGGACCGAAGTGCTTGGTCTCAGGTTGACATATCGGCTTCTTGTGCAGATGCTTCGACGATATCTGGTCATTTAATTAATACATCCAGATGACGATTCCCAAATAGGACAAAATGCGCATCCTGGATTCCACTGCTAGTCACCATCCACCAATTAAATACATATCACCAATTGTGTCCAGTCTTCATTGGTTCTTGGGATCTGGGGAACCTGACCAGGAAGCATATACCTCTGAACATGGCTGGCTAGAAGTAACTGCCTAGGTTTTCACTGAATGATTCCCAGTTTTGGTCTGACCATCACCAGCTCTCACTTTTTCAACCTGATCCTATGTCAGTCGGCCAACATCGCACGTCGAGGAAGGAGATTGGTGGCTAGGCATGTGTAATACATGCCCCAACCACCTCAATAGATGTAGCTCCCACAACCTCGTCGATCGACTTTTCTCTCTCTCTCACCTACATTCGACGCTTAACCCCATTATTACTCGTCCTATTATAGCATCTAACATGGGAGATAGAACACAGACACCCATGATCAAAGAAAGCTAGCTTTTTCATGTTTAACAGAGCTATGGGGAAAAACGGAGCGAAGTAAACTCTGAGAAGTATACACTTTCTTTGACCGACAGTTGGATATCACGTCTACGCCACAAGGGATGTAGGTTGGCAAATGAACCATTTGTTTCTGTGCTGGGATTTCGTCAGCAATCAACGCGTTAGGGCTGATGCAGCCTCCCAAATAAGGTGAAGTGGTTGACATGCTCTACCAACCACTTCATTCTTTATCTTTAAGCTAGGAGTCAATATAGTCCATTCTTGAAGAATCATATTACATTTGATGGGAACAAATCTCGAGCAAAATATTAGAAGATTTCTGTTTAGTGTTGAGGAAACTGCATTTTGTCAGTGTCTTCACCTAGAAGGAATAATATCATTCGCATAGTTCAAGTCAACGAGATCATCCCCTGATGGTAACAAGTCAATCCCTGAGTCGCTGACGTCAGGATTAAATCCACTAGTGCATCTACGATGGAACTAAAGAGATATGAGGACAATAGGCATCCCTGACGTACACTTCTGGTTGTAATGACTTTAGATGGCAACTCTCCAAAGGCTCTCACCTAGCTGACTGCATGAGTTCCAGTAGTGCTTTGATCAGTGCGGTGAATTTCCTCGTCATTCCCTCCACAGCCAAACATCGCCATAGTACCTCTCAGACGATGGAATCGAATGCCACTTTCAAGTCAAGAAATATGAAGATTGTTTGACGCCGACGGTATGCTTACGTTCCAGAATCTGTCGAAGGGCGAAGATATGATGAATACACCCTCTTCCTTCCTGGTTCTCTCGTGTTTGTTCCTCCCGAGCACTATTTACTCTACGCATGATTATTGAGCCCATAACTTTAGATGTCATCGTCCTGTGATTATCACAGGAAGACTTGTCTCCCATCCTGTATAGAGGGATAATCAATAACTTACACCAACCCACCGGGACTATCTCCAATTCCCAGACGTTGACGAATACTTTAGTTAACTCAGACAGTAAACTGTCTCCACCGTGCTTAAATACCTTTGAAGTTCCTTTATCGGGCCCCTCTGCTTTGCTTCGGTACAGATTAGAGACAGCTTTCGTAACCTCAGTTGAGGACGAGGGACCTGTGTTTATATCCCATTCAGGTAGATGTTGGATACTCAGTTGGCTAAGAGTGGCTATAGCCCAGTTAAATTGCTCCTCAAAGCGTTCTTTCCAACGTTCCAGTCGTCTATTTATGAGAGCTGATTACGAAGCCATTCTTCTCGAAGATTGTTCCACTCATCATTTGCTTTTTGCCACATATTTCCCTGATAAGGTGCCACCGCAGACTTTTATCAACAACTGCCATCTTCGTTGTCTTCATGTCGAAGATCAGAAGGCTGGCTGGCCATCGAAAAAGAATTTAGCGGGAAGAAAACTTTCGGAACGAACCAATCAAGAACATACTGCTCAACAAATATTCTGAAGAAAATGGACCAGACACAGGTCGAGGAGACTGTTGGGTGACACACCCTGCACGAGGCCTCTGGAGTGAGGAAACGTTGAGTTGAATGTTGCTTCGAGGATGACACGGAGATGTGTCAATCTATCGGTGTCACTCTTTCACAACCAGTTGTATCTTTCGAAACGAACTAAAAAACGACAGAGAAAAAAATTGATTAATTCCATCATTCACAACTAACTGGTCATTGAGATATCATCATCATCAGTCTCAACAAACTTGCAAACTTCATACATTTCGTTCCCTTTATAAATTTCGATAGAGAAAGAACGATCAGATTTGCAGTATAATACCTTCATCAGTACAACAGCTTCTGCCCTATGAGCTATAAGTGGGGATTAGTAAGGGCCAGGAAGTTATGTTCGCCTAACAAGGTAGAAGAAGAATTAAGCTTTGTTGAAAAATTCTTTAAGGAAAACCGGTGTCCAAAAGGACTTATCCTAAATTACAGCAAAGAAAGAGATGAGAAAGAGAAGTATCTAACAGTTGAAGAGACGAAAGTGTTCATTTACCTCCCATACAAAGGGGAAGCAATATAATGAAAAATTGACAAGAGGATGAAAGGAGCGATAAACAGATGCTTCCCTGCAGCCAATCTGGTGACACTATACAGTACTACATGCTCTATAAGCCAATCGAAACTGGATAAGCACCCTGCTGATGTTACCTCCAACTGCATTTATAAATTTACATGCATCTCCGGCAGCAAGTACATAGCAAGGACACGAAGAAGGGCTTCTATCATGGTATTCAGAGCATATTCCGAGAAACTTATGCTTAAGAGGAAACAAAGTGCAATTACCAGACACTCACATCATGGATACGGGTCACTTTGTCGAGATTACTAAATCCTTCAAAATATTAAACATACAAAGGACAGCGAATCTACTACGATTTACTGCTGAAGCGATTGCAACCAAACGTTTCAGACCAAATTTATGCACACAGAAAGAGAGTGTAGTCAATCTCTTACTCCCTTGGTGGTCATAGATGTGTTAATGGACTTAACCCTAAGTGACTTCAGCGACTCAGGGATTGACTTGCTACCGGGGAGTAATCTCGTTGACTTGGAATATGCAGACGATATAGTCCTTCTAGGCGAAGACGCTGACGAAATGCAGAGTCTTCTAAACACCTTGAGCCGCAATCTACGAATGTTTGGCATGCGATTCGCTCCCGCCAAATGCAAGATGATGTTACAGGACTGGACTACATCGACGCCTAGTTTAAAAATAGGAAGTGAAGTGGTAGTGCACGTTGACCGCTTCACTTATTTAGGAAGCACCATCAGCCACAACGGGCTGATCTCTGACGAAATCTCAGCACGAATACAGGGGGCTCGTTTCGCATTTGTTAGTTTACGCCGACTCTGGCGTAGACGAGATGTTCGACTATCGACCAAAGGGCGGGTGTACTGCTCATCAGTCCGCTCCGTCCTCCTTTATGGTTGTGAGACCTGGCCACTCAGAGTGGAAGACATGAAAAGACTAGCTGTCTTTGATCATAGGTGCCTGCGTTCTATTTCCCGTGTAAAGTGGCACGATAAGGTGAGCAACATGGAGGTTAGGCGTCGAGTTCTAGGTAAACAGGGGAAATCAATCGACGAAGTCGTGAAGCTACAAAGACTGAGATGGTTAGGACATGTGTTACGTATGCCAAGTCATCGCCTCCCTCGACGAGCAATGTTAGCGGATATAGGGTCAGGCTGGGAAAAAGCTAGCGGCGGTCAAACAAAAACTTGGCACCAGTCAATGAAATCCACAACAGTTGGTCTAAGCCACGTAGAAAGGTGTAGACTTCCAGGCTGGGGTCCTCGGGACGGTAAAAATCTATGGTTGGAAACAATTGGTGACATGGCTCAAAATCGTTCTCAGTGGCGCAGATGCATCCACTCCCTGTGACTTATGATCTTCAATGAAATTGTTTTGTATTTCTTTATTACTCCTTTGTCTCACACCTCTGCTCACTGTTTCTATTATGCTTTTCTTGTACTTTCTTCTCTTGCTTCGCGTGCTACACGGAGTGTGGCGACTTGAAGTTCCGCATATTTGTGCAAAGTTCTATGTCGAAAACAGACAGACAGACATATCACTTTCATTACACTGATTAGTCACACACACTAGTGGGCTCAACTCACTAAGCAAGTTTTCAACCAACAAATATGCAGGAGAAATGTAGATGGATTGGACACTCGCTGAGGAAGCCACTGTGTGACATCGCGCGCGCGTCAGGCCATTGCTCGAGTGGAACCCGAAAGGAGGAGATCGTATGAAGAGGAGTTGAAACAGTATGGACTAACTAACATGGATCCAGGTGAAAGGTACAGCAGAAAACAGAAGCAAATGGAGACGTGCAGTTGAAGCCCTATGTTCCACTAGGAACCCAAGGGGACAATAATAATAAACATCCACCCACCCCAAATAGATGGCAAGCATAATCATAATGTGAACGCACAGATTTCATTCAACATTCACAATTCACTGATAATCAATACAATCAAATTACACCAACCAATCAATCATGAGTTTATATAATTAATTAATAACAATAATAATAATAACAGTAGTAATAACAATAATGATAGCAATAATAAAGGTAACGATAATATTATATAATTTTCAATATTTTTTTTAAAATAAAGTAGGTTTAGTAATCACAGTTTAATAGACGATTGTGAACACTCGTCAGTGAATCAAGTCATATTACGAAGATAAAACACACACACAGTGGTGCTGGATTTGTTTTCAGATAGTAGGGAAAGTCCGGGGTATAGGAGAGGACATAGGGTTGTAAGTAAACATTTACAGAGTTGATTAGATTAAAGAATACACAAACACGCACATAAAATCACAAAAATGGTTGGTATATACAAACAGGAAGAGACATGGGGAAGGAAATGACCTAGCTAAACAATTTTTTTTTCAAGCCTTTACACATGTGTAATTTTATAAGCAAGCCAGTTGATGATGTACCACTCCCACTACTCACAAAGTGATAATATAATGAGCAGAGATTTTAATTAAAGGGAATGCTGTGTATGTGTGTGATGAAAAACACATTGGAAGCGAGATAATAATTAAAATAATAACAGAGGTAGAGAATAATAATAATATTATTATTAGAAGTAAGGTGTAGCAGTGTGTGTAGCAAAAATCCTATTATATTATAATTTGACGTTCAAGGAAATAAATACACCCCACTCTGCCCTTCCCCACCTACATACAATCCTGAAAACATTATCATTCCATCAATGATACATACATACACACACACATATTCTGTAGTGAAATCAGAGGATTGTTCTCATCAGGAACACGTTGTAAGTAGGTCGTCCACCATTGGGTAGTATTGGTGGTGGTCGTCGTAGTGGACGAACGATGGATGATTAGTAGAGAAAATCTAATTCTTGTTTACATGTTTGTTGTTGTTGCTGCTGTTGTTTTTGATGGTGTGCAACAGCAGCAGCCGCTGCCGCTGCAGCATAATATGAGGCAGCAGCAACTGCATTCGCTTCAGTTGGATTTTCAACAAAATTCCGAGGATTTGTTGTTGTTGCCGTTGTTATCCAACCTCGAGATGATAGCACAGGTTGTTGGTATTGTTGATGATATGCAATAGTTTCATTAGTATTATTATTATTACAAGGATTATTCGATACGCCAACACCGCCACCACCCCCTTGATGGATATTAGACATTCTAGGAATAAGACTGCTGTGTTGAAGATTTTGTTGCTGTTGAGTCTGTTGTTGTTGTTGTAATTGTTGTTGTTGCAATTGGAAAAACATAAGATTATGATAGGCGGCGGCAGCTGCATGAGCTGCTGACAACTGATGATTCGACTGTTGTTGAACAACTTGTTGATCTTCTCGATTGATCATTGTAACCTGGGGATGATGCTTACGTGGATGTCTACTACTACGTGGAGACGGATGCTCGGTTAGCTTTTGAGTATCATTTGAAAAAATATCACCCCCAGCTGTCAAGTGATTATTACAATTTCTTTGAGCATTTGAATTATTACTATTATTATTACTACCATTATTATTATTGAGAGATTGTTGATGATGAAAAGGTGATGTGAAGACAAATAGACCAGGATTAGATCCTCCCCAGACAACTCCAGACTCTCGATTAGATGATAAATAATTCGCAGGGGATGAAACAGACCGATTGATAATATGCATTGGATGCGAGTCTTCTTGTTTAATCATTGGCTGAACTCGACCAACTGGTACTGAAATTACAGAAGACATACACACAAAATCAATAATTGAATAACACTGAGTAATAATTAAGATAATGGAGATTCATCGGCAGAAATACTGAGAAACCGCCTATCCTGCTCACTGAAAAAAACCTTCTCCACAAAATCAATCATTCGCATAAACGTCAAAGATAAGTTGCCAAATACTGGCCTCATCAATGTGCATCTGTCAGTTCGCCTGCTCGTGTGGAGATAGGTATTCAGGTCGTCTGCTATCCAATATCCTAGATATCCTAAAACACCTAATCGAAGCCGCATACCAAGCTTAAAAGTCATTTACAGAATACGTGGGAATTTCGTTAACGCGATACGAATCAAACTTCTTCAAACCGTAGAAGCAATGCCAGTGCACATATTAAATCCTGACCTCTGTATACAAAAGAAGTTTGTCCAGTCATTAAACCTAAAATGGACTTGATCTGCACTAAATACACAATTTTTGTCTTTTTTCTTCTTAATTGCATCATTTTATTCACCCACCCCCTATCTACTGAATTTCTAATCCTCATTTCCACTTTTATTACGTTGAATTCTACTCAACTCGTCAATTATGTTACGTCATTCAATTTACTTAATTTTATTTTAGTTTCTACCCGATCAAAGCTCTCTACATAACGTAACTTGTTATCAACAGCTGAATGGTATACGAGGCTGCCTAATAACCGGAAGCTCCTGGGTTCGAACCCTGGCAGTGAGTGAGTACTGACGATGATTCCCAAACTGTCCAGTGCTCCCTGTGGCTGGTTTTCAATGGTTCTCTGGCTGATCTGTCTGTCTGGATTCAACATAGAACTTGGCACCGAAGTGCAGAAGTTCGAGTTGCCACTGATACCAATCTGTGATCAACTCGTAAAAATATATATATGCGAATGTACAACTTGAGAGTGATATTTTGTTGGCAGAATTGTTTCCTATCAGAGACTCACGCGCAAGTGATGAATTGAAGTGAGCAGCAGATCCCTCGAAATGCACACACACACACACACACACACACACACACGCTTATTGTCAATCTGCTCAGAACAAAAACAGCCAGGGGTTTCCCGAAGAATTATCTACCAACTAACTCCAAGCGACTTTTCATCATAAAGTCATCATACACAAAAAGAAATCGTCGACGTCAGTAGACTGTGGTTAATTATGCACAAATCACCTAACAAACTGTGATACTACTGATCCAAAAATATACAATGCATCAACGGGGGTATAAAGGTGTTAGAAATAAACTAAATCTATTGATTCAGTTATCGCTGATTTATTTGACTATAATATCCGAAGGCATCAATGGTGCAGTGGTAGAATGCTCACTGACCGACCACGCCTCACATAGTCTGGGTAGGACTCGATCCCCAGTCGACGTACTCCTTAACCACACATAACCAATAGTAAGCCCGATAGAGAGAGAGAGAAGGTTGGGTGTAAGACTAGCAACCACAAGCCCGTAGAAAATGAAACCACTGCAACTCACACTTCATAACTCGAAGCTTAAAGCCTATATATTCTAATCGGGAAGCAAAGGATAATATTTAAAAGTAACAAGCTATACTACACCAAGTTTAAATTTAGTGAGGTGTGAGGAAGACGATATACAGCACACGAAATGAAATGAGCCCATTTCATCCACCATCCTTTAGTATTCTTACTTCGGCGACCATACCACTTTGAAAGCACCGGTTCTCGTCCGATCACCGAAGTTAAGCAACGTTGGGCCCGGTTAGTACTTGCATGGGTGACCGGCTGGGAATTACCGGGTGTTGCCGGCTCTTTGTGAGTCGGTGGCGCAGTGGTTAGGGCACTCGCCGATCATGCACATGGTTCGGAGTTCGGTTCTCTGCCGACGCACACCTTATATCAACTATGGTCGGTCTGTAAAATTTAGGCTACCGATATCACATGCTGAAAATTCCATACTTGTACCGAAAATACGGCGTGGAATCAAGCTGTAATCAAAAACAAAAAATATAAACCCATGAAGGCAGCCAGTAGTATGAAATTCTACAACCCCATTGATTGACTTGCCTACCTATCTTATTTTTTTGAGACATACCCCTGATGTCTGCATAGTTTGATTCACCAGAAACAGTAAGTAAATTGTTTGGAGCTTTCCTACAGATTTACAACACACTTGCAAAAGATATACGCTTCACATTAAATAATAACAGATGGACTAACCAATGTTGAACATCACACACAAGTACACACTGGCGATCGATCCATAATGAGCTAGCCAAATATCCATAGCGATCGCAATAAGTGGTGAATTGGCAGAAGTTAGAATTCGTGGACTGGCTGTTGGATCAGGTCCCAGTGGTTGCCTTGGAACCAGAAGGTTCTGGGTTCGAACCCCTGTGAGTGCTTACTGCCGAAGAGTTCCAAACTAGGATGAAACAGCTGTCCTGTACTCCCTGCAAGTTTTCCAATGGTTCTCTCTAACCGATGTCAGTTCATGATGAAATCATGTAACCAAAAGTGAAGTAGTTTGACAGAAGTCAAACCACTTCGAGGCACTACTCTCACCGCTACTGATTCGACTTATTTATCAGGTGAGTGAAACCTATAATTCGGACGATTACTTAACTCTGATCAATGTGCCAGACGGGATATTGATGTGATGTGTAGGCAACCATAAATTATCAACTTACAATATACGAAGGCAGAAAGTCTATCTAAACATCATCAAGCAGTCACTGAAAGACTCAACATCTTGTTGGCAGCGAAGTTCCTGAGGCACTATGACCTTAGATGCCTTTTGATCCGCTGACACATCTTTATTTTATAAAAATGAATCACGCTCATCTTAAATGACATTGTATTAAATTCCACATAAAGCCACCTACCTACCCAGAAGACATTTTAAATATCATAAAATCAATATAAAACTATATACTGTGGTCGGTTTAGTAAACCAGATTTTTTTCGATCAGAAGATCTCGAATAATTAACCTGATTACCTTAAATACTTATTGATAAGTTTTGACAATCCGAATCTTATACGTTTAAATCACGCACACACACAGACTTTGTGTTAACCTGAGAGTTCAAAGCTTGCTCCTCTTCGCCTAAATGGTCTGTACTCATAATCAAATATATATAATAGACTCAGCCTAATAGTCCGTTTTACATAAAAATATCTGCTTAATTTAAGTAGGATGCACTAAATCAAAAGAAGAAGACAAAAGCAGTTTGCTTACAAACAGGGTAGAAGTACTTAAGACGCTGCTGCTGCTGCAGTGTTTCACCACAACATTGTATCCTCCTTAGACAAAGGGGCCAAGTATGTCCGTTGTACGTTCCTTGATTACACATCTGCTTTCGACTCCGTACCTAGAAGCCTTTTGTTAAACAAGCTTAGCCTTACACAAACTGAGTCCTGGGCTATCAACTGGATGCACTCTTACTTCTCTAATAGGATGCAGTACACGACATGTAATGGTGTATCTTCCTCTCCTTTGCTTACTGAAGCTGGAGTTCCTCAGGGTGCTGTTCTCTCTACGTTTCTCTTTTTCTTCTTCTTACATGACTTACCTCTTTTAGACAAAATCAACTTCGTCAAATATGCAGATGACCTGACTGTTTCGCTTCCTGTTAATTCTCAGTCAGACTGTTTCAAATTAAATAGCTTCCTGTCGGACATCAGTCAGTAGTCTAAACTAAATGGCCTCATGCTGAATCCCTCAAAATGCCGGACTATCGACTTCTCCTTTAGACATAAACGACATCTACAAACACTAGTAAGTAGCACTGAGGCGATTAAAATTGAAGCTAAGTCTAATGCAAAATACCTCGAACTAGTTCTATCATCCGACCTTACATGGTCATCTCATATCCTAACGGTTTCTAAGAAAGTGTCGCGTTTAGCCTACTACATTAAGAAACTTAGACTATCTGGAATCACCCAATCTCTACTTTCACAATTTGTCAACTCTCGTATCTTACCTATTCTACTTTACTGCTTGCTCCCCATTAGTCTTTCCTGGGCTACTGAAAAAAGACTATACCATCCTGAGAAGGATGTTGAAGGTAGTTAGTAGGACTAGTGGTGTAAAACTCAGTCAGCTCGTCACTACATTAGTAGAAAGGCATCTGAATACATGCGAAAAATGGTCTAAAAGCATACTCTCCGACCCCCAGCACCCTCTCTATTGCCAAGTCTCTGTCTGCTTGTATCTCATCAGGTAGAACTAGAAGTCAGTATAAAATAATATATGCTCGTACAATCAAGTACAGGAACTCAACGATATCATATTTGGCCAGCCCGTGTTCTAAGTGAAAGAGACAATGTTAAAGCGCGAAACTTATGACTTGCTTTGTTGTTAAATAACATAATTTTGGCTCTTTTACTTGTATTCTATAGTGAACAGCTTCTTAAACATACTTAGCTACCTAAATTATTAACACTTTACTCTATTCCTTCTTTTGTGTATATCTACTGGTTCCGACTATATCATCACTATGAGTATTACAAAATTGTCCTGTCATTAACCTTCATGTAATATTAGTTTTGTGGTTGTATTTTTTTTCAGCAATATTAACTGACAATCTCGGTTGTGAACACCATTATCACCATCTTAAAAATATTTGTATTATGCAGGATTACTCACACTACCACAACAACCACCGCATTAGAGCTGACGATAAAAAAACACAACCTGAAATGTTTATTTTATGATTGTTTAGTGTTGTTCAATCAAATTAACTGACCATCTTGGCGATAAAAATTCTTAAATATCATTTCATAACTTCTTGAATGATTATAGCCTTACCACGCATAAATATATCATAGCTTCCACTGCCCAATACTGAGATATTATTTATTATGTTGTTTATTTTCCTTTCAACTTGTTGGTATTTTTCGCATTATTTTTGTTTTTGTTGGTGTTGCCTTTATTTTTATTTTTTTTGAAATACTCCTTTTTAAATGTTTGATAAAATTAGATGCAATAGTGTAGATAAGTGCTGAAAATTTCACACTGTACCACCAGTAGTACTGTTTCTGGAATAAGGCAAAATTATCATTATTATTATTAAGAACATGAAAAAATCAACTTACTTTTCTTATCAGAACGCTGTTGACACATCACATCAAAACTTGATCTATATGCCCTGAAAAACCGGAAGTTAAGAAGCAAATATAAAAAAGTGCAGGAAATTAATAAAAGGGTTCTTCCAGAAGACAGACTCATGATAAATATACAAAATGTTGCTTGGTTCAGTGTACTTAGTCTCTCTGGACAATAAATTCGTTAGAACTCGCGACTTCAGGTATAGGCAACTATTTCTGTTATATTATCAGATATCGGCTGTTCAGAAATATAAAATGCAAAGCTTCTTCTATTGATACTTTGTTTGACTTGAAGGAAATGTTCGGCATCCTGGATCCCATATTCCACTGCTAGTCATCGAAGTGATTCGTACTAAAGAAGTTGAATACTGTGGTTCAAACAATCAACCTAAACAGAATAGCAACTTATCCTCGTCGCACAAGAGTTGCCTCCTCCTCCCGTGGTGCAAGTGGCGTTTGGAACGACGGCTACTGGGGTTCGAGCCCCAGTGGGAACACTATCACTCACTGAGGAATGCAGGTACATCCAGTTTACCAGTCTCAAATTGGTTGTGCATCTTGGATCGCACTGTTAGTCACCCCCGTCCACCAAATGACAAACTTTAATATTGTTGTTAAGATTCGAGACTCCTGTTGGTCATTATCTAAAAACTTTTGCTGATTCTTTATTTCCAGCCTTTTTGGACCGACACCTTTCAATGTCAACTCTGGATACCATTCGCAGTGTTGCATTTCTGTTAAACAATAGGTTGTAATCAGCTTTACGATAAACGCATTGCCTTACTGGATAGAAAAATAGGATTAATGATGACAGAATCGGAAAGGCAAGACACACCTTCATCATTCTGAGATCAGTTTGGATATCTTCTACACACAGTCAGCATAAACAACAAAATTCGAATTTCCAACACCAGCGTCAAGTCGGTCAGTCAGTTCTTCTATATGGGTCAGTAACATGCACAGCACTTGCGTCGCCAAAATCATTTCTAACAACCTGCTAGAGACTTTTATTAACAGCTGCCACCTCCGCTGGCTCCATACTGAAGATCAAATAGTTGGCAGGGTGGTTTAGAAACAAGTAATTCTGGGGAAAACCAAGAACCTATTGCTCAAAAATTATTTTGAAGAAAATGGAGATGAATCTGATACACGCCACTGAGGAGACCGACGAATAACATTGCGCTCCAGTGGAAACCGAGTGGGAAACGAAGAGTTGGGTGTGGGTCCGAGGGTGAAATGAAGGAGATGAGAGACTATGGGGAATTGTGGGGACAGCTAGAGAGAGGACCGCAGAGAACAGGACAAAGTGGAAATGTCCTGTTGAAGCCCTATGTTATACTCTGAAACCAAAGGAGCAAAATAATAATAATACTAATAAATTATCTTCTCTCCTGACACACACAATCAGTTCATCATGCATATCGCATTCCTGGTAATTGCTTTATATGCCTTCGCAAAGTGTGATAAATTGAACTATTGTACTTGTGTGATAAGTTAGACTTTGTTAATACAGAGTTATATTGCATGGAGGATTTCATCATGAGCTGACATCAGCTAGAGAACCTTTGGAAAATCTGCAGGGAGTACTGGACAGCTGTTTCGTTTGCCTAGTTTGGGACTTTTCATCAGTACGCACCCACTGCCACGGTTTGGACCCAGGACCTTCTGGTTACAAGGCCAGCGAGCTAGCTCGTAGACCATTAAGACACTCACTGGGACCCGATCCAATGGTCATTGAATTCTAACCTCTGCCGTGCAATCAAAACAAAAACCAATACTTGAAAATTAATCTGATGCTCACTAGCAACTGGGTTTTTTCAGGCAGTGACCTGGGGTTCTAATGGGAAGCCGTGACCAGTAGCGTACTACAGCAGGTTGAAGATTAGGCAGTAACTCATCGAAGAAGACATTACGAAATGCTCGCGATATGTCGTAAGTTGACAGAAGTTAGAATTCATGGGCTGACCGGCCGTTGGATCGGGTCCCATTGGCTCAATGGTCTACGAGCTCGCTAGTCTTGTAACCAGAAGGTCCTGGGTTCGAACCCCAGTGGAGATGGGTGCGTACTGATGAAGAGTCCTAAACTAGGCAAACGAAACAGCTGTCCAATACTCCCAGCTGGTTTTCCAGTGGTTATCTAACTGATGTCGGCTCATGATGAAATCCTTCAACCAACCAATCAAACAAAAATCCCTATGCAACAAATACTTGAAAATATAGTGATAGATTGGTTACTTAGGGCAGAATTCCAATGTAACAGTTGACTATGAAACCTGATTACAATAATCAGTTATCTAAGCTGACGTAAGTACGGAGGGATTCAAACTTTCGATCCACTAGCCAAAAGTCAAGTAAGTGTTGACACCACTATACGCTAATTTGTCTTTAGTTCTCTCACATCTAGCGCCAATCACCATCAACGGGAGGGATTTGAAAGAGGTTACTTCATTCACTTACTTATCTACGGAGCATTGTCTCAACTACATCAAGTCGGAACGGATGAGGATGTCAAATCGAGCGAGAATCGGGAAGGCGACAAACACATTTATCAATCTGAAACCAATCTTCGTCACTCAGCCAGCATCAACAACAAAATTCGGTCGGATTTTCAATACAAACATCAAGTCAGTCAGCCCTTCTATACGGATCAGAAACTTGGCGGGTGGGTGGGTCACAAAGAATACTTCCAACAGCCTGTTGCAGACCAACCTTTATCAACCAACAACTGTCTTCGCTAGCTCTATACTGAAGATCAGATGGTCGGGCGGGCCGGAAACAATCACCAACAAGAAACTATGGCTGGGAACAAACAAACAAAACAAGAACCAATCGCCAACCAACAAATATGCAGGAGAAAGTGGAGATGGATTGAACACTCGCTGAGGAGGAGGCCGGTTGGTGACATCGCGCGCGCGTCAGGCCATTGCTCGAGTGGAACCTGAAAGAGAAGCGAAGAGTGCGAGAGTGAGTGACATGGAGGAGATCGTGTGAAGAGGAGTTGAAACAGTATGGACTAACTAACATGGATGCAGGTGAAAAGTATAGCAGAAGATAGAAGCAAGAGGAGATGTACAGTTGAAGCTCTACTTTCCACTAGGAACCCATGGGAACAATAATAATAATAAATAATCTCTCACATGTATATCTCAGACATACACACAACACGTAAGTGTGATTACTAAATCTAACTCCTTTATGGTGAAACATTTGGCACATATGGCAAACATTTAAAGTTGGTTCTTTTTATCATTGCAGATTTTCGTGTCAACACGCCGAAACTTAATTTTGTTTTTCATAATTCATAATAATGATTCAACAATTATGAATGGGATGTGAGCTATGCCTAAATCAACATGCAGCCCAGGGCATATCATAAGTTTCTGCGAAGCATGCATGATTAACACTTACCCAGTGGATCCAAATTCCGATTTGATTGGACTATTATTCGGTATAACTTCTGATGAACAATTGAACGAAGAGTTAGTCTGAGGTAAACTATGTGCCATCTGATTGACTGCCTCAGAATTGGATTCTATTGCTGCTGAAGGACGTTTCATACGACCAGGATTATACAATGAATCTAGATGTGATGTAATTGTGAAATTGGAAATTTGACAATAAAAAATTAATTCTTTTTTAAAATCTGTTAACAAAAACCACATTCTTATGAGATAGATACCATATGAAACTATTATACAAATAACAAAGAGTGATAACTATTTTTCCGAGAATTTCAAGATTGAGGGGGCTAGAAATTCTGGTGTTGACTGAAGGGTATGATATTGTGTGTTGATTCTATCTAGGGACCATTTCTAATGTCAGAGGACAAGCAGACCTGATATAGCTGTCGGTACCTCTAAGATCCTAATAGCTCTCCTAATCTGAAAAACTGAAGTGACGAGTTTTTTTTCACGTCATAATTAATCCACACTATCGTTTCGGAGACTCAGATAAGCCAGAGTGGCACGACAGTCCGTCAGTTAGACGTCACCGTTATTTTTTCAACTACCATCAACATTTGGATTTTTTACGAGTTGATCATGGATGGATATTAGTTAGAGAACCATTGAAAAACAAGGAGTACTGGACAGCTGTTTCATTCTAGTTTGGGAATCATCGAACACAGTAGGTTCGTACTGCCGATGATTCCCAAACTAGGATGAAACAGCTGTCCGTACTCCCTGCTGGTTTCCAATGGTTTTCTAACTGATATCAATCCATGATCAACTCGTAAAAACAAAACTAACCCTTACAAACCAAACTATAGAACATTAAGATTATTGTGTGACTAGTTAATTAATGCGGCGAACGCTAATAGCTTACGGCCAACAGTGGACTATAGCAGAGAGGTGGGTAGAGCCACTATGGGTTTACACCACTAGATCTTATCTTAGCAAACTTTCATTCTGAAGTTAGCGCTGATGTTGCATAGAAGGCGGATAAAAAAAAACTTCGCAATAGGACTACCTTTCTCAAAGAAAACAACCACACTAACAAACTTCTAGCTTAAGTAGATAATAGTCCACTACTGGTTTACTTCACAATTAGAAAATTTGCAGTTTCCATAGTTGACTGATTGACTAGTTTCAACAGAGAACTTGGCACAGATGTGCAGCAGTTCGAGTTGCCCCACACGCCATGTAGAACACAAAATAGACTAGAAGAATGATAGTAAACATGAATATTTTTTTATTATTTTTATTTTTGATTACAGCTTGATTCCACACCGTATTTTTGGTACAAGTATGGAATTTTCAGCATGGATATCGGTAGCCAAAATTTTGCAGGCCGAGCATAGATATCAGATGTTCGCCGGCAGAGGATCGAACCTCGGACCATGTGCAGGAGGCAAAAAGAGTAGGAATATGGAAAAACGATGGTTTCTCTTGATATGCCAGATCACAGAGGGAGTGAATACATCTCCTCCATTGACAAAGGTTTTCAGTCACCAATTGTCTCCAGCACTTCATTGGCTCCTAGAATTCCGAGGACCCCAACCAGACAGAGGGATATACCTACCGACGCGCCCTAAACTTACCGTTGTGGATTTTATTGACTGATGAAACTGTTTTGGTTTGACCGCCACTAGCTCTCTCTTTTTCCAACCTGATCCATCCTATGTCAGTCAACTAACACATTGTCCGTCGAAAAGGTGATCGATGGCTAGGTATGAGTAACACATGTCCTAACCATCTGAATCGGTGTAACTTCACAATCTTGTCTGTTGATTTCCCCTCCCACTTACCTAGCACTCGACCAATGGCTAACCTCAATATTGCTGATCCAATTACACCACTTAACACTAGAGATAGAACTCAGACATCTATGATCAAAGACAGTCAGCTAGCCTTTTCATGCCTCCCACTTTCAAAGACCATGCCTTACTCACAGGCATAAAGGAGGACAGAGTGAAGTGACTGCCGAGAAGTACACACGTCGTTTGGTTGATAGCCAGCCAGCCAGCCAGATACCACCTCTACGCCAGAAATGGCCTTCTATATCTGTTCTGAGATTTCGACAGCAATCAGCTCTCTTTGGGAGTGATTCAGTTTCCCAAATAAGTAAAGTGGTTAACACGCTCCACCAACCACTTCACTCCTTTTCTTCAAACTATGAATCGATATAGTCCAGTCAGTCCTGTAGCATCATCTTACATTTGACAGAAGCAGATGAATTTCATGAACAGCATTCCAAGATTGCTGCTTCTGTCCAATCATTATCCGCTAGACTATTCTACTACTACTTTTCAGAATGTCTCTCTCTAAAGAAGATTCGACGGGGTCCCTTCCTTCAGAACCTACAATATAATCAAAAATGACGAGTGAACAGTACACATACACCATTTTTCAGTCTCTTTCATTCACAAAACAAAAATAAAACAAGAGAAATCTACCAAAACTTCGAACAATAAACTAAAAGATATTTGTCTAGATGATAGTATTGTAAAAAAAGAAAACTATTGTAAGAAAACAGATTTACATAGTAACACACAAAGAGATTATATTCCAACTGCCATTGAAAGCTTTTATATAACACATATGGGTGTGGTTTAGAAGTGAAAATATACCCAAAGGTAGGCGTATTATATCTATATATTTGATGCAAAAGTTATGCAAACACCTATTATTCACACTGAAATGTTGAATACGGGAAAATTACAAATTACTTCTAATGACCACACCTGGTTTAAGGGTTGAATTACCTAGACCTGGCTAGCCAATTCTTATTATATTTACCAACATATGACTGTTCTGTCTGTCTGTTTTCGACATAGAACTATACACAAATGTGCGGAAGTTCAAGTCGCCACATTCCGTGTAGCACGCGAAGCAAGAGAAGAAAGTACAACAAAAGCATAATAGAAACAGTGAGCAGAGGTGTGAGACAAAGGAGTAATAAAGAAAAACAAAACAGTTTGTTTTTTTTCTTCCGCACATTTATGACTGCTCTAGTCTAGGCATAATTACAAATCACTTAAAATTGGCATGTATCTTACTAAATGTGTTTTTCCAGCTTTACCAACTCTCTCTCCCACACACAGACACACAACTTCTGCGTTTTTCCAATATAATTTTATTTGACTTAAATTTATTCGACCAGTTGGAGGACTATTGGAAAACCTGAGAATTCTGAACAGCTAATTCATCTTACTTTTGGACTTTTCAACAGTATGCACTCAGTGGGGTGGGGGGGGGGTAAACTCAGGACTAACCGGTTACAAGGCAAGGACACAGACCGCTCACTCAGCCACTGGGACACGATTCAACGGCCCACCAATTTCAACTGTTACTAATTCGCGATATATACAGGTAAGAGAACAGTAACTCGCTTTGGAAATTTGGCTATATATGTCCCAAATTGACAGAACTTAGAGTTCATGAGCCATTGGATCGCCCTTCCAGTTGCTGAATGGTCTATAAGCTCGCTGACCTTGTAACCAGGTCTTGAGTTCGAACCCGAGTGGGTGGGGACTTCAAAAAAGTCCGACAGATCGATCATAGCTTTAAACAAATTCGAACTATTTGTTCTTACTTAAAACACACACACACACACAAAATGTCCGATAGGAATGAAATAATATTTATTTTGACAGTGTAAATGTACACTGAAAATGAATCCACGTGCTTCCAACAGAATACCAACAACATTTGAATTTAAACATGCTTTATTCCAAAAATAAAGTGTTGATTTGCTACGAGAAAAGTCTTAATATGGCTAATTATTATTAATCTAATGTGGATATAACTGAATAAAAATTGAAGAAGTCATCGAACAGAATCATGGTTGCTCAATAATCTCCATAATGAATAATAAGTCTTAAAGCAACTACAATGAACTGGTAACACAGAGACATAGAGTACGTATAAGAAGCAGAGTTGACTAGGGTTTTTGCGAATACTAGCTGCTGACAATCACAAACAAATAACCTGAACCTCTGATTGGACACTGACTAGTGTCACGCGTTTGTAGTCCTTTGTTTGGGATGGACTGAATTTTTTTCATCAGTCAACTTTGCAATGCTAGGTAGCTCTTCATTACGGTACACTCAGAATTCTTGTTATTAGATGGTTGTAGGCAACTGGCAGGAAGCAATCTACCTAGGTTGTGTGCTGGTTAGCACTCACCAGTCAGCAAGGCGTACCTGCAACTGTCTTGAAGGGGCTCATGTCCCTTTGGAGATTTGGACCCGCGTCACCCAGTGGTGATGCAATCAGAGGCGTTACCACTGACCTAATCGGGCTAGCGATTGACTTCCTGTAGGACTCTATATTGTACACATCGATTGGGCACTAGTTAGTAAACAGCATAATGTGTTTCATCTTTTGTTTGGTACACACAGAGTTCTATTGGTCAAAGTATTCATAACAACAGTCGTACAGGAAGGTCAGTCACGGGTCTGAATAGCTCACTGATAGATAATATCTCTCTTTCTCTCTCTTACTGCAGAACACTAGGGGACACGAGTTCAAATCTTCTCAGAAAGGATATGAGTTCCTTCAAGATTATTGATACGCCTTGTGATGACTGGTGAGTGTCAACAAGCACAAAAAACCTAGGTCAGGCAACGCTTCCTGTTAATTGCCCCCAACTATCTAATAATAGTAACAGGAACCACCTCGTTACACTTTAAGCATGCAAACGTTATAAGCATACACAACAAATGTTGATTGTCACATACACACTTGCTTAAGTGTGAATCGAGTAGTCTGGATTTCGTTATTCAGTTCAGCAATATAATTGTAAACATTGGACATTTAATTAAAATACACTCTATATTTTGCAAATTATTGAAATTATGACAAAAGATTAGTGAGAAAGTCAGAAGCAGTGCAAATTTCACACATGCTTTTAAAATGTGAGATGAAAGCGTACAACCTTAATCTCTGGTGTATTTGTGTACGAATAGCAAATAATACTGTGGTGAGTGCTACTCATAAGATTTATCAGTAGTGTATATACAGACGTCCATCGGTCCAAATAACATCAAATAGCAGGGAGATAGATAGATACATTTGATGTCAGAGACACTAAATGATTCAGAGTTGCGGAGATACATGGCAGACGAGACACACAGAAACACAATATGAAGGCGAAAAGTAGCACACAACACGGAAGATCTGTGCTGACGGTGCTTTGAGGATAAATGTGTACATAATTTCGCCATACAGAGACAGCAAAATCCAAATAAACATTCCTTTAAAACAATTAGGCCCTTTGATAAATTTGAATAAGCCATTAAAAAGACAAATTTCACGAGATGATGGCATCATTTCGTAGTTTCTTTACAACCGTTTTACAACTAACATGGTTAATAATAATAAATAAAGTTCATGACAATTACTCAGTTTAGAAAATCAAAACAAGTGATTCAGCGAAAAGACTCTTTTCAACGAATTTATCATCAAGCTGTGCAGTCGTATATATATGGTTTATCAGAAGTTAAATAAAAAACAAAATTACATACTAATGACCAATCATATTTAGATAGGTCAAGTAGTCAGTTCATGGTAGGCGAAGATTGAAGTCTATTGTTTTTTGACTGTACACACAGTTTAGGTTGTATGTGATTAATCCAATGGGCTTCCATCACCTTCAATAACCTTGAATTAAAGTTATATGAAATAAGGGCCCGAAAAATATGCACGAGTGACTCATTGATGGATGAGTTTCGACATTTACATTCAGTTTTATTAGCTAATGGTTATCAGGAAAACTTTATCACTTGTCACAGTAAAGAAAGACCACATCTCGAAAAGACAGCTTCTGTACCAAAGAAAGCTATCTTTATTAACCTACCATTCAAGGCGACCAGATTATGCAGTTCAAAGACTTCGGTCAGCCATCAAACGTACATTCTACGCCGCATCTCTTTTTCTCATTTGCCGAACATTTTCGATCCTTGTTCCTACGATTAAAGGACGAAATTCTGTGGACTCTACTTCAAACTGTATCTACAAGTTCACCTGCAGCTGCGGTGACACCTACATAGGTAGAACCAACAGAATCTTCCAATGTCGTCGAAAAGAACATGTTCCAAAATGGCTACTAAATCATATAGAAAATCCCAATGCAATTAATCTGAATAGAAATCCAACCTCATCCATTGCAAAACACTTATTAGTGTCAGGTCATAAAATCAATAGTAATAACTGTTTCACAATTATTTCACATAACTCTAATTCAAAGTTGGTTATTGAAGGTGATGGAAGCCCATTGGATTAATCACATACAACCTAAACTGTGTGTACAGTCAAAAAACAATAGACTTCAATCTTCGCCTACCATGAACTAACTACTTGACCTATCTAAATATGATTGGTCATTAGTATGTAATTTTGTTTTTTATTTAACTGAGTAATTGTCATGAACTTTATTTATTATTATTAACCATGTTAGTTGTAAAACGGTTGTAAAGAAACTACGAAATGATGCCATCATCTCGTGAAATTTGTCTTCTTAATGCCTTATTCTAACATTCCTTTACCAAGTCTTTCGTCTTCTACATTTACAATACAAACCTCGTATGAAAAAACTATCACCAATAATTTATCGTATATAAACTTAGAATGACAAACTTCCAAGGAGATGACCAGAAAGGAATACAGACAGATTGGCATAGAACCTTGCGTATAAGCAAACGATTTCAAACAGATGGTGAATAGTTACTGTGAATATATCAAAAGTGCTCTTTTTCCTTTCGCTTACCGAGTGGAACAAAGGGCTTCAAGTTTCAGCTCTGAGCTTTCATTAGCAGTGATGTTTCTACGGGATGGGGTTGCTAGCCCCTCGTGTCCAACCTCCTCTCTTTGTTAGGGTTACAGTCGACTTACGTGAGGCAAAGGTCGGCGCGCCGGCCGGGGTTCGAACCTCAGGCCACATGCATGGTTGGCGAGCATTCTACTGCCGAACCACCGATGGAAATTGGAATAAATCAAAAAATGAATACTTGATATTAACATTTCAGCGAATACGCCAAATATACTTACTTGGAGGTAACATGGACAAATTAATCGCATTGTTCACTGTTGGTTCTGAATTATTCGTCACCAGATTCATAGGTACACAATCAATATCATTTAGAAAATTATTAGAATAATGATGTGTAATAGAAGGTTTACGGATATCACTATGATTGGTTCCGCCGTGGGGCTGTTGTTGTTGTTGTTCATGATTTTGAAGGGAAAACTCTTGACATGAAAGGAACTGTTGAGTTGCTGACCCGTGGACTTCATACATTGCACCGCGCTTGAAACAAAAATACATAATTATGTTTACACAGGAGCAAACTGTAGAGATATAAAGCACCAGTTATTAATGAATGAACTTGTAAACTTATTTTAAACACATATGCAAAAAGTAGTACGTCTGTAGTAGCTTAATAGAATGCAACATTAATGAACGTCACAAGATCAGGACTGAAATTAACCGACGCGTCGCAAGACTATTCAAATACATTAGAATAAACGTGACCACTTCATTTATTTGGGAAGTTGTATCAACCAGCCCCAGTGGGTTGACCGCTGACAAAATCTCAGCACGGATATAGAAGGCTCGTTCGGCGTATGCCAACTCACGCTATCGATCGACGAGGTTGTGAGGCTACGTCGATTGAGATGTCTGGGACGTCTCTAAGCATCACCTTGCTCGTTGAGCAATGTTAGGCGACATAGGATGGATCAGCTAGTGGTGGTCAAAGCGAAACATGAGATCAGTCAATGAAATCAACAACAGTTAGTTTAAGCCAGCTTCGTAGGGGGGGGTGCAGCCTTCTTGGCTGGTTGGGGTCTTTGGGATGGTAAAACCCAATGAAGGCTGGAGACAATTGCTAATAAGGGTCACACAATCCTGGTTGTTAATGCCGCAGATGTATTCACTCTTTGTGATTTATCATATGCAATATCTTTTTTCCACATAACTATTATTTTTCCTTAGCATTTCCGGGGATTACCTATTTTTTGAACCTCCCTTTACTCTCTTCTCTTGCTTTATGTGCTATATGGAGCGTGGCAACTCGAAGTGGTGCACTTCAGTGTAAAGTTCTATGTTGAAACTAGTCAGTCAGCGAAATGTTGTTGGCAGCCAGCCTTTCTTCAAGGCTGCTTACATGCAGCTAACCGACTACAACGCTGGGCAATAATATTACTTGGATACGATTTCGATATTAAATACAACCGAACTAACAAATTTGGCCGAGCCGACGCTCTATCTCGGTTAATTAGCGACTATCCTGCATCAAGTGAAGATATGGTAATTGCATCAATCGCCACCAAAGACTATGCAGTTAACCTCATTGACAATGCTGTTCGATCTCTACCAGTAACGTTTGCAGAAATCCAGTGGACTACAAGCACCGATGCCACCTTACGACGTGCTACACAGTATGTATCCAGTAATTGGCCAAAGATTAAATATAGTGGAGACCTAAAACACCTGTTTGCCCGTCGTGATTCCTTATGCGTTGTAAAAGATTGCTTGATGTTTGGAGAACGTGTAGTGATACCTGAAGCATTACGAAATAAACTCCTGAAACAGTTTCACATGGGACATCCTGGTATTCAGTGGATGAAGAGTATTGCTCGTAGTTACGCATACTGGCCTAATATGGATAAGCATATTATCGATTTTGTTCAACGATGCTCAAAATGTCAACAATCAGCAAAACTATCCCACCAGCTACCTCCCGTACCGTGGCTACCAGCAGCCCATCCTTTGTCCAGAATTCATATTGATTTTGCTGGCCCTACAAATGGTGCATATTATTTAGTGGTGGTAGACGCTTTTTCTAGGTGGCCAGAAGTTATAACAATGGTTTCGCCGACAACGTCCCAGACTCTCAAAGCTCTTGCTGACATATTCTCCCATCATGGTCTCCTAGAAACCATAGTTACAGACAATGGTTCGCAGTTTACCTCTCATCAGTTTCAGCAGTTCTGTCGTCAAAATGCTATCGAGCATATGTTCACGCCACCGTATCATCCTCAGTCAAACGGCCAAGCGGAACGTTTTGTCGACACTTTGAAGAGAGCTTTACTCAAAGCAGAGGAAGAGGGGACACCATTTGACATCATCCAAAAATTCTTGATGGTGTACTGTACAACGGCGAATGAGTCAACACAGAAGAAGAAATCGCCGGCAGAAATTCTTTACGGACGCAAACTTAGAACGATTCACAACTCAATGTTACCACCGACACCCAAACGTGCCGACGCATCATTTCGGAATGAAAAAAATTTGATGTTGGTGACCCTATGTCCGCGACTATCGAGCAGGACATAAACCTTGGAATAAACGTTCCATCGCAGCACGACGTGGTCGAGTTAAGTACGACGTGAAAGTTGGTAATGATTTATGGACCCGCCACTACAATCAGTTGCGTCCAAGAAACTCAAATATCCCTACCATTACGCAGTCATCTCTACCTCTGGATATACTCTTAGATACTTTTAACTTACCTACGACTGACAAAACAGAAAGGCGAAATTGCGCAGCTCAGACAACTCTAGACAAGAGCATATTGTCAGTTATAATGGAATATCGATCCACACACACAGCAAAATATAATTGACTGTCAACAACAAAACACACACATCACGTGGATACATATCAGATTGTATGAATGGGATTTTAATCCGAGAATTGGACACATATGGAAGACAGTATCTAAGTCTTATAGTGGCTGATTTGAATGAATTTTAACATCAGTTATTCAACTCCTGTCTAACTTGATAACTATTTAAATTTGAGGTTGCCTGTAAAATTTGTCAGGTAATCCACAACGGAAAACTCAGGGAGGCGTTGGAGGTGAATAAAGGGGATATTGGTGATATTGGTGACTATGGTGGACTCGGCTATGCTGCACACTGATCAGATTGTAGAAGATTCGGACTTCATAGACGACTTATGTTTCACGTCACACAAACTAGGAGATGTGGATAGGCAAAAAGCAAGATGGCAGGAGAAGTCACTAATAAAGACAGAACTTCACGTAAACATAGAAAAGATGGAGGTGATGAAAATAACCAACCAACAACGAAAAAAACATCAATCGTAATCAGCAGGAAAAATTTGGAAGAGGTTATTTCGTTCACTTATCTAGGGAGCATTATTTCAACTACAGACAGACGGCTCGGATGAAGACGTCAAAGCTGGTCAGAAACAGAAAGGCAACGCAGGACTTGATCACTCCGAAATCAGTTTAGGAATCTCCTGTGCTCCACAACAACAAAAATCCGGATTTTCAACACCAATGTTAACTCAGTCACTTCTGCTATATGGATCAGAAACATGGCGCGTCATGCAAAGCATTTCTAACAGGCTAGTACAGACTTTTATCAACAACTGCCACCTTCACTGGCTCCATATTATAGACCAAATGGCCCACTAGAGAGAATTAGCAACAAGAAACTATGGAGAAAAAAACCAACCAATAACCTACTGTTCAACAAATATGTAGGAGAAAATGGAGATGGATTGGGTATACGCTGAGACAGTTGAGTGAAATCGCGCGCTAAGCCATCGCTTGAGTGGAACACGAATGGGAAGCGACGAGTTGGGCGTGGGTCTAAGGGTAACACGGAAGAGACCATGTGAGATGGAGATCAGAGACTATGGTCAGCTAAAGATGACCGCAGAAAATACGATGAAGTGGAGATGTGCTGTTGAAGCCTTGTGTTCCCACTCGGAACCCAAGGGAACAATAATAATAACAGTAACATTTTTTAGTATGGTTTTGGAACTTAGGAGCAAAGTCTAAGTGTGAAATCTAAACCAAGAGCCACGAATGCTACATGAAGTGGCTTTGTGGCGTGTGCTACCGACAAGATTTCTAAGTGGTATGTAGATGTAGACTGATAGGAAGTCACCAAAACTGAAATCAACATTTGGCTGCAGCAGACGTAGGTAGAAATGCTTATTCCTCAAATCTAGATCTATTTTACAACATGGACATGAAATAACCTCCTTGTACAAATTTTTGTTTTATTGTTTAACCTTGAGTGAATCGCCAACCAATCAGAACACAGTTTGTCGTCCATTGACCTAGCCGAATTTTAATGTGGCTAAGAATGTATAAATATGATGCGTTTTTTTCCCTAATAAAGCTCCGTTACCAGATTACCTTGCCTTCCATCATTACAGTCTAACTACACTCAATCTTTGGAAGAAACACTAAGCTATGAACTATATGATTCTTTATTCGAAGGCCTGGTGTTTAAGTCAGCAAAGACATATTTTTTTTAAATTTGACTTTCAGAAATACTTGGACTGGCAAATATCGTGCTCTAGAAAGAACTACAAAGTCTTATCTCCCGCATATTTTCTGTTTCCAAACAAGTACCTCAACTAATAGGTTGCGTGTTCAAAACTAGTCTTTCGCATCTTCGACCTGTATGCAAAGTATTAATATCATAAGCTTATACACACACACTCACACAGTTTATAGTATGTAACCCTAATTTAGTAGCTAAGTTTATTAATATATCCAGGTAGGTAGTTACCTGGGGTTCTAGTGAGAAGTAGGGTGCAGCAGATCGGATGTGAGGACAAATACTCGCTGAAGACATTGGCTAGTGGTGGCGCTATATCGTGAATTGACAAAAGTTAGAATTTATGGGCCATTGGATCGGTTCCCAGTGGCTCAACGGTCTACGAGCTCGCTAGTCTTGTAACCGGAAGGTCCTGGGTTCGAACCCCGATGGGTGAGTACTGCTGTAGAGTCCCAAACTAGGACGAAACTGCTGTCGAGTACTCCCAGCTAGTTTTCCGATGGTTCTCTAACCAATGTCAGCTCATAATGAAATCCTGTAACCAATCAAATCCCTACAAACCAACACTTAAAATCAATTGCATGAAAGATAATTTACAATTACATCTCCCTTTTGTCCACTGATGACAGATAACAAATATCATCAAACTGAGGAATATTTTCCAAATTCTGGAATGGTGCGTTCGTCTATACCTCTTGAATGACAACAGTAACTCGCCTTATTTTAAACTGTAGTTTGCGCAGTATGAGAAATGGAAAAAAACATTCTAAAGACTGAGAGAGAAGCTGTAACTTTTTAGAGATCGATAAAGCTTAGAATATAGCAGGAGAGATTTAGTCACAAACTCACCCTACTGAAAACTATGGAGCGCCTGGTAGCTATTTTGTTTTGGCATGCAATCCTTTAACAGAGAGCACACACACACACAACGCATTCAGTGATTGGCTTGACGACCTTTAGGATAAATAGCAAGCACACTTGCTATTCATTTACTGGAGTGGCATCCACTGCCTCGTGAATTCCAACTGTTGTTGTCTTTACACTCAAATGATTTGGGTGGTCAACGGAATTTAAAGGATGTCAGTAGGGCAAGCAACGTGCCACTTAACCAGCTTGTTAAAATTCTGGTCGACAGGCACTTAGACTCATATGAAAAATGGGCTAAATCCATTCTAACTCACACCACCCTCTTCATTCACAACTCTCCCCTTGTATCTCATCAAGCGGAACCAGAAGTCTATATAGAAAACTATATGCTCTTACTAGAAAGTACAAAAACTCAACCATACCCTACTTAGCTCGTGTTCTGTGCGATGAAGAAAGCATTAGGCATGAAACCTATAACTTATCATAAATGGTCAGTAGAACAACTGGATCTCGTCTTTCCAACTCATATCATCTACGGGTACAACGTTTTTTTCTTCCTTTCTTTTCCTTTTCTCTCTCTCCTTTTTTTGTTATGTGCTGCTTTGTTTCTCTCTTCCTTACAAACTCTATTTAAAACATCCTTCTTCGTTCTCTCACACTCTGTATATCTCGATCTTTTTGTTACCGCTTACACCAGTAAATATGCTAGCATCCACTTTTAACACCTTCAAACATTCTGTTCAGTCTTGGCTTTGCTACCGACATGCTAATATGTTGTCAAAACTAACTGAGATTACCCTTAATCTATGTAGAATTTTATTTATTATTAATGTACTAACTGAATGCAATAGTAATAATAATTTTTCCTTTACGTTCCCAGTGGAACATAGGGCTCCAAGCTAGTGGCTTGAAGTTTCTGTAGCAGTGTTTATTCTTTACAGGATGGGGTTGCTAGCCCCATACCCAACCTTTCCTCTTTACCAGGATTATTTCTGGTTTAGCGAGGTAAAGGAGTAAGTCGGTGGCCGGGGATCGAACCCCGGACAATGTACATGGTCGGCGAGCGTCCTAACCGCTGTGCCACCGATGCACTATTGAAATATATTATTATTTTTATTATTATTGCTCCTTTGGGTTCCTAGTGGAACATAGGGCTTCAACTGCACGTCTCCATTTTCTTCTGTCTTCTGCTATACTTTTCGCCTGCATCCATGTTAATCCATATTCTTTCAACTCTTCACACGATCTCCTCCATGTCACCCTTGAACGTCCCACACGCCGCTTCCCTTTCGGGCAATACTGTAGTAAAATGCTGAAAATTCCATTCTACCCTAAGATCTGTCAAAGACATACAAACTCAACTTCAGAAAACTACAATATACTTTATTTAATTGAATTTTAGATTTTCCCGTCGACTGATTGGACCGAAGTGCTCGGGTCTCAGATTGACATGTCGGCTTCTTGTGCAGATGCTTCGATGATGTCTGGGCATGTAATCAGAGGTCAACTGCTGGATGGTGATTAGCAGTGGAATCCAGGATGCTTGAGGCTCGAACCCAGTGGGAACATCATCACTCACTGTGGAATGCAGATACGTCCAGTAGCTGACAAGTCCCAAATGGGATGAAACGCGGGTTATCCTGGTGGATTCCACTGCTAGTCACCATCCACCAATCAACCTACAATATATTTTCTTAAAAATATTGAACACTTAGGTTGTAATTAGGTAGATAAAAAAACACACTAGGAATGATAACTGAGTAATTGATTTTGAAGCAGTCAAAAGATACTTACTGAACATTTTGGATCCAAACGAGTCACTTCATTGACTTTGGCGTTGTGCAGTACACCTGATGATGTCAAGTGTGTTGGACAATCTGAACGACAACCACCGCATCCTTTAGACATAGCTTGAACAAAATTATAATCACTACTTTGAACACTTTTGGCAGAAATTAATGAATGCCTTCGATTATTGTTGTTGCTGAAATTTTGTTGATGTTGACGAGCTACCGCCAATGCTGCAGCTGCAGTTGCTGGATTTTTATACAAATGTTGATGATTCACTAAAGCACATAGTGTATCACATAGTCGACTTTTTGGTTTGCATGTCACATTAACACAATTATGCTGAACAATAGGATGCTCTGCAATGCCTTTCTCATGATTAGTAATATCTAGCACAAATGAGTTATCACCTTCAACAGAAGATAGCCTGTTGTTTAATCCTCTTTGAAGACAAACAGAATGAACAGGATGATGTAACATTTGTCGGACATCATTTGAAAGACTGTTTGTAGACAGAATATTTGACGGTTGAATATTGGAAGTTTGTATAGAATTGTTGATTAGGAAAGGTGATGTTGCGGGGGCAGTAACAGCACTTAGCAAAGACAATGCGGTACCAGCACCGCCAGCACTTACTAGATCATAAAATGAAAGAGAACGTTGTAATGCAGGTGCATAAGTTGGATGACCTCCTGCTGCAGCCTGACACGATCGCATACAAATCTCAGGTTTGCTTTGGGAGATTATTATAGTTGCAGGAGTGCACTCAATAATTGTGCATACATTGCCTGGTTCCGCCACACTGACTGACAAATGCTGATGAGCTTCGTTTACAGAGCCCAGTGAAGCATACTGATGCAAGCATGGCAGGCTAGAAGAAGTACTACCACCAGATATTGGTATAAGCTGTGAGGCTGGCTTTGAGGAGAATGCAGCCGCTGCGGCAGCAGCAGCATAATACGCAGCTCTGGCATCAGCACCACGACAGTTAGACAGATGACTGGCTTGATAGTTAGATTGTGGAGAAATATCAGTCTGAGCAGTAATACCATTTGGATTAACATAATGACATGTCTCCGGAAAGCTGGTGGTCATAACCTTCTGAGGTAATGGCATATATTTAGAGTTCAAGGCAATATCACTTGATGAATATTGTTTACGTGCATTTCCATAACAAACCTGCATCAGTGAGAGAGATTCTTGAGTCCTAAAAGAATTAACCAAGATGTGAGATAATGCTTGAATATTATTAAACATGACTGCATACAGAATAAGTATTCAAAAATCTAATCTTGATGAAAATAAGTATAAAAATGTTACGGATTTTGTTTTATCACAAATCCAGACAGGATGTATAGTATAAATGATTAAATTCCAATGACTGCTGAAAAACCTCAGAAAAATGTTTACAGTTTACCTTCTTCTATCTAGGAATCCATCTCGCTTTGCATGCGAGAGGCTCCGGGTTCGATACCCGGCATCTCCACCATGCGTCGGTGGCACAGCGGTTAGGACGCTCGCCGACCATGCACATGGTCCGGGGTTCGATTCCCGGCCGACGCACTCCTTCACCTCGCTAAACCAGAAATAATCCTGGTAAAGAGGAAAGGTTGGGTATGGGGCTAGCAACCCCATCCTGTAAAGAATAAACACTGCTACAGAAACTTCAAGCCACTAGCTTGAGGCCCTATGTTCCACTGGGAACGTGAAGGGAAAAAATCTAGGAACAACACTAGTGTCAACGAATTGCAACTTCATAAAGCGACTTAACAGTTTCGCACACAGCTTCGTTTTTATCTCAGCAGTATTAATCCAATGGGACTACTACCACATTACCTAGTTACACTAGTGAATAACCAGAGTCTATGCAGGTGCCCCAGAAGGAGTGGTAGGCTTCTACAGGTTCCTCCCATTCATGGCCTATAGCTAAGTAATCTATTTGAGTCTATAGCTGCTGTGATAATGAAGGTCGCCAGATTAGACTAAGTCTCTCTTTATGATCGTAGTGCTGATTGGGAACAGATGATTATCTGAAAAGAACTTACTTACTTACTTTACTTTACTTCGGCTATCTCCTACGGGAGGATGAGCCGGCCTCATGAACGTCTCGAATCATCGCTGCCCAGGCGCGGCAATTTGTAAGAGAGTTGAAGTTTCATGGGAATTTGGTACGAGTGATGTCCCCAGCATTGCTCGGCCTTTTGTTTGAGAGTGCAGCTCTAGTCTTTACACAGCCAAGTGTGACCTACAAGGCAGTAGGAGTGGAGTATGGAGTCCACTATCCAGTGGCAGCCGGTGACCGGAGTTCGGTTCATACGCCTTTTTGAATGGGGCCAGACATCCAGGACATCCAAAAAGCCCTTTGTCCATACGTCTGCCGGTGAGCTCCAGTGAGCTTCATACGCCAGTCGTTGGAGGTTTGGAATCAGGGTTTAGCCATCTCCCCTAGACTGTCATCCAATGGACAGTCAACCCGGTGGAGAGCGCCGGGCATCCGCTTTCGCCCTCCTTGGGAAAACCCCCCCGAGGGGTCCGGAGGTATAAACCCGATGGGTTAAGGGGGGGGGGGGCACCCGCAGCCCCCCCCCGTTGGTCTGAAAAGAACAGTGAAAGACGATCGCTAGTATAGATTCACTGGCATGGGATTCTATAAGTGCTTCTAATATACTTTTCTAACCGGTTCAAAAAATTCCCTACTTGAGCACTGAAGTTGCTTGCTGGAATTTATTTATTTTTGATTACAGCTTCATTCCACACCGTATTTTTTGATACATGTATGGAATTTTAAGCATGTGATATCGGTAGCCCAAATTTTGCAGGCCGATCATAGATATCAGGTTTGCGTTGGCAGAGGATCGAGCCCCGGACCATGTGCATGGTCGGCCGGAGTCATAACCACTGTGCCACCACTGCATCTGAGTGTTTTGGTTTCAGCAGCAAACTAGACAGCTTTTGACAGGATTTATCCGTGACTTTTTCCGAACTGTAGTTTGTTGGCGCGTAAGCAGAGATTATGAAAAGACATTAAAAGGGCCTCACAATCTTTCTTTCCACTAACGGATTCATTCAGATGGACAGTATACATCCATCTACGACTATCTACTGGGACCCAGTCAAGTAGGGACGTTTTGTCCTAGTCCTCAACAAACTGAATAATATCCTGAAACTCGAGGTGGATTTTGCAGATTCACTCTGTTGGTCAGGTGGAGTTAAGTGAATAACCACACTTGGGTCATATATATGTCCATATATATGACCAAAGGGCGGGTGTACTGCTCATCAGTCCGCTCCGTCCTCCTTTATGGTTGTGAGACCTGGCCACTGAGAGTGGAAGACATGAAAAGACTAGCTGCCTTTGATCATAGGTGCCTGCGTTCTATTTCCCGTGTAAAGTGGCATAATAAGGTGAGCAACATGGAGGTTAGGCGTAGAGTTCTGTCTGTCTGTCTGTCTGGATTCAACATAGAACTTGGCACCGAAGTGCAGCAGTTCGAGTTGCCACGTTCCAAATAGCACACAGAGGTAGACAAGAAGATGAGTGAAGAGAATTAATAGAGTTTGACAAATATAAGAGTGAAACAGAATGGGTAATGGTAGAAAGGAATATGAAAGATTACAGAGATTGAATACATCTGCGCCATTGACAACGATTTTGAGCCATGTCACCTATTGTCTCCAGCCATTGATTCCTAGAGTCCCGAGGGCCCCAACCCGGGAGTCTGCATCTCCCTACCTGACTCAGTTTAACTGTCAAGGATTTCATGGATTGATGCCATGTTTTTGTTTGGCCACCACTGGCTCTTTTCCAACCTGAACCTATATCAGCTAACAATGCCCGTCGGGGGAGGCGGTGGTTAGGCATGCGCACCACGTGACCTAGCCATCTTAGTCTATGTAACTTTATAACCTCGTCGATTGATTTTCCCTCTTTGCCCAACACTCTACGCCTAACGTCAACATTACTTATCTTGTGAAACCACCTAACGTGAGACAGAGATCGCAGACATCTATGATCGAAAGCAGTCAACCTTTTCATGTCTTCAACGCGTATTGGCCATGTTTCAGAGCCATAGAGAAGGACGGAGCGAACTGATGAGCAGTACACACGTCCCTTGGTTGATAACCGGATGTCACGCCTACGCCAGAGATGGTGTAAGTCAGCGAAAGCAGCTCGAGCTTTTCGGATCCGTGCTGAGATTTCATCGCCAATCAGTCCGTTGGTGCTAATACAACTTCCCAAGTAGGTGAAGTGGTCAACATGTTCTATCACTTCACTCCCTATCACTAAGTTAGGGATTGACGGGTCCAGTCCTGTAGCAGCATCTTACATTTTGCAGGGGCGAATCGCATGCCAAACATACGAAGATTGCTGCTCAAGGTGTTCAGAAGACTCTGCATTTTGTCAGCATCCTCCCCTAACAGGACTATGTCATCTGCATATTCTAAGTCCATTAGATTATTCCCTGGTAACAAGTCGATTCCTAAGTCACTACGTTCAGTTAAGGATACTTCCATTAGCATATCTATGATGAAGTTAAACAGAAATGGGGAAAGTGGACATCCCTGTCGGACACCACTGGTTGTTACCAATTCAGATGACAATTCCCCATAAGCCCTTACACGACTACGTGAGTTTGAATAGAGTGCCTTGATTAGTGCAATGTACTTTCTTGGCACTCCCTTCACAGTCAGACATTGCCATAGTACCTTTCGGTCCACGGAGTCGAAGGCCGCCTTCAAGTCAAGAAATATGACAATCGTTGGACGCCGAAAAGTGTGTCTAGAGTTCTAGGTAAACAGGGGAAATCAATCGACGAAGTCGTGAAGCTACATCGACTGAGATGGCTAGGACATGTGTTACGTATGCCAAGCCATCGCCTCCCTCGACGAGCAATGTTAGCGGATATAGGGTCAGGCTGGAAAAAAGCTAGCGGCGGTCAAACAAAAACTTGGCATCAGTCAATGAAATCCACAACAGTTGGTCTAAGCCACGTAGAAAGGTGTAGACTTCCAGGCTGGGGTCCTCGGGACGGTAAAAATCTATGGTTGGAAACAATTGGTGACATGGCTCAAAACCGTTCTCAGTGGCGCAGATGCATCCACTCCCTGTGACTTATGATCTTCAATGAAACTGTTTTGTATTTCTTTATTACTCCTTTGTCTCACACCTCTGCTCACTGTTTCTATTATGCTTTTCTTGTACTTTCTTCTCTTGCTTCGCGTGCTACACGGAATGTGGCGACTTGAACTTCCGCACATTTGTGCAAAGTTCTATGTCGAAAACAGACAGACTCCGAAACACAACATACATCCATGACTCGACATGACACAGTTCTGTCTAGTGATGCCAGTTATCCAATTTGGAGAGGGTTCCTGACAAAAAATGCTCCAATATTAAGTTGCTAGTGTGGTCTTAAGAGACTATCGGCAGTTCCTCCAGCTATGGTAGCAATTAACGGTCGCAGAGTTAAGATGAGGTGGAGGACCAACTTGAGGAATAATAATAACCGTAGGTGGGAAGTAGGACGATGGTGATGGACATAAAGGTGAGTGATAATCAAGAATGTTTCCAGTACAGTATACAGTGGAAGTTTAATTTCTTTTGGAATACCAGTGTCGAAGAGCCCAGTGGACAACTGCTCGAGGTTGGTTGTATACGGCCTGTTTGAAATGATTTTCAGAGTTGTGGCCGTATTAAAATATTACCGCCGGCTATGAACCACCGGAAGGTATGGTCCGGATAATCACAATATAAGAGAAAGATTTGGACACTGTGGTAGAGTATAACTCCACAAGAGAATAGTGCTATTTGATAAAGAATTAGTGACAATATCATTAATTTAGCAACGATATTTTAAGCACACTACTGCTCATAATCATATCAAGGTACTTACAACTTTCGAACCTTTTTATAAGAGTTCTACTATTTCTCATCTCTTGAATATTATTGATAAAATTAGAGGATGAGTAATAACAGAACTAATACATGAAATGTGAAAAGTTGTGAGTACCTTGATGCGATTATGAACAGTACACCGTGCTTGAAATGTCATTATGAAATAAATACTGCCACTGCCAAATGAGATTACTCTATTACGGAACCGGTTAACCTTCACTAGGTAGACTCTATCAATCAATGAGTTCACGAGGTATCATCTTATCACTAATATTGAAAAAAGGTTAATATTTGAACGCTGTGAGGTGCAAATAGCTGAGACAACCTTCGTAGACAGGGAGAGTTATGCTAATCGACTCAAATTATTTCTAAAAGTAAAATCAGGGGTATGACAACTCACCGTTTAGAGAAAGGTTGACAATGAAGATGATCCATAGTTACAAAAGAATGCTGAAGGGCTGTATCAGGTGTTATTCTGTCACATGGACGCATTTTTAACATTTGAGTTAGAAAATTAGTGAAATGTTGACGATCTGCACTATCCAGATCTGATTCTTCAGGTACAGTAGGCCCATTGACATCACGTATTTGATTTAATGAACTGAAGAAATACTTTCTGGCTTCTTTAGCTTGTTGACCAGTTTCTGCAGTATATTCTTCCTGAGTTTTTAACCGCCAATCACAACGATAATGGTCTCGTACAAAAAATGTACTACACTTTCCAGCATTCTTTAACATATCTGACGGAGGTAGACCCTGTGTTTCCACTATGTATCGCATCTAAATTCAAGAGAGAAAAAATTCAATATCGGCCTCAAATTCTGACACCAATGCACAGATTAAATGCCACAGCAAAATATCAAAATTATTATTCTAGGTATACGCATAACAGTGTGATGGTAAAACTCGACAAATCGACAGGGCTCATTAATTTTCACATCTAATTCAGAGAAGAAACAATTTCGCTCACCATCTTTTATATTGCACAGCCAGCACTTTGTGTGCAAGGTCGAAAATGTGATGAAACGACTAAGTAAAAGCAAACATTGGTGAAAATATGGCCAGGAATTATTTCGTATAGATACAACTTTGTCTGCTGAGTCTATGCCACACCCGTGTGCATGTTTGAACTCAATTCCCTGAACAGACCTTTTCTGTTCCAAGCTGTGGGCTACACTTGTTGTGTGATGAGAGGGTTGATAGTACTATCAAGTTGCTCAAGCTGGAGTGGGTTGAGGGGGATTCGAATCCGGAAGCCACTAGCTCAAAAACCAAATGCTTAAGTCGCTGCGTCACTTACACTATGAGTAACAACTGTGTATATGCAATATCTGATCTGCTGGACTGACAACAATACCGGATATACTTTTCGATTAATTTTGGTTTATTAACTTAAACACAGATTTCTGTTAGTTAATCCCATATTCCATTCCTGCTTTACCGACCTCTCCATGGGAATTCAGGTGGTATAACTCGCCCTGAACATTAAGTACTACTGATAATCTAAACACAAAGGATCAATTTGGTGGTAATAGCTGCATCATTTCACATGAGTCTTTACTTTACTTTTTTACTTTACTTCGGCTATCTCCTACGGGAGGATGAACCGGCTTCATGAACATCTCGAATGTTTGTAAGAGAGTTGATGAAGTTCCGTGGGAATTGGGTACGAGTGATGTCCCCAGCATCGCTCGGCCTTTTGTTTGAGAGTACAGCTCTAGCCTTTACACAACCAAGTGTGACCTACAAGGCAGTAGGAGTGGAGTAGGGAGTCCACTATCCATTGGCAGCCGGTGACCGGAGTCCGGTTCATGAGTCGCATCACAACAAACAAATTTTGACGCCTTATTTGGTTACACACTTAACCAATTCCGAAAATCAGCACAACAACAAATAGGGGACCATGAAAATCGAGTCCAATTCTGATTCCCAGCATTAATGTTGGGAAGAAATGTAAGAAACGATCAGAGTGTATACAATAATAATTTTATCACAACAGATATCAAAACAAAATGCATGTATACCAACAAAAACCTTAGTACACTTAATGAGCATATACAGTAATGGGAGACCAATGGTATAGAAAACAACATATTTTGATTCGGATCACATCGATCAGCTTACCTGATACTGCACTCTCTGCATTATATGGCCTGGCACGACGGCCAATTCAATGAAATTTCTCATTGATAGTTATCAGGACAAAGATGACAGTTTATAAAGTGAGGTCCCAGCTGGTAGCTGCAACCTTGACGTGGCTAGTTGGGTTTATGCACTGCAATCACTAAACGAGCTATGCTAAATGGAAATAATATTTCTGCAGGCCTTACCATGCTAAAAAGGTTGTTTGGATAGTAGTTGGACTGAAAGTTACTGAAAGCAGTTACCATCATAGTGTAAGCCGCCTTAGGAGATGATTTTAATGTTCAAGTAGCGAACAAGCTACTCCGGAAGAACACTGAGAGTATCTATAGTGTCTCATCGATGGGTTGACAACTATGGTCGTCTTTAACAATCTTTCTCAGGTAATTACATATTTCTGACTGGCATTAATCTCTAACATAGACAGACATTTTCTCACTTGGCGACCACGGATATCAAGTCACCTAGCTATAAGTCACCAATCGAGTGTCGGTAGAAATCGCCTCTCCCATTAACTGTAAGGGGGCCAATCACGCAGCAGTTCATGTATATGTTACAGGGATGTTACTGATGAGCAGCTACAAAACCCTAACATGTCTTGATTCTCAATGAAAACAAAGTCTCTATTTAGGAGATAGATTGTCATATCTGGACGTAACAGCCATACCCATACTGAAGAAGCCTTGCATTATATCCAGTTTACCACAGAAACAGTAGTAAAAGCAGTCAGATATTGGCAAACGTTAGTGAATCTCTGCAGTGCCGTCTAAACTGAGATCAGAGGAAACTAATCCTAAGGGGCACCAAACACAAAAAGTGAGGATAAATAAGAGTCTTTGCAAGTACTTCAAATAGTATTGGGAACTCGGGATCGAATTAAGTAGAAAAGACACTCCCAAAAATTAACATCCATGAAATATTTAGGCATATTAATTAAAACCGACAGTGTGACAATTAGGCGTGTAAAACGATCCCTGCGAAGTAAAGAACCATAATAACTTGTCACGAGTGACGTTTGTAACGCTTGACAGGAAAATTTAACTAGCCTACAGCTGCACTCCAGTTGGCTATCATTCCGCCCCGGCCAAAATAAAATAAATTTAGACACCAGCTGCTTAACTGTAGCGTAAGTTGCTGAAGCAGTTCCTCAACTCGGGACAAGCAAAGTAACAGGACCTGATACATTAACGTCAGATACGGTAGTGAACAATGGGGAGGTGTAGACTTTCGGGTTAGGGTCCTCAGGATGCGAAGATCCAACGACTGGAGACTATTGGTAATATGGCTCAAGATCGTCCTCGACGGCATAGATGCACTCTATTTATAATCTCCCAGATCTATTAAGTTTTTCGGCTTTTTTAATTCACTATTCTTTCGCTCGTACATTTCACTTAATTCCTTTCAAATTTCGTTTTTAACCCTTCTTTACTCTTTCTACCTTCACGTGCCACATGGAGTGTGGCAACTTGGGCTACTGCACTTCTATGCAAAGTTTTGTGGTGAAACTCAATCCATCAGTCACCATAAAGTCTGGGTTCCATTTCAACTGATGCACTCCTACACCCCACCTACTTTACTAGCCCGCAAAAAGACCGAAAAAGAGGTAAGGTTATATGTAAGTCCAGTAGCCCCACCCATAAAAACGACGCTACTAAAACTTCAAAGCGTGCAGTTTCAGAATACAGGGAATGATAACAACTAAGTTGCATGACACAAATATGTCGCATAGAGGTTTTATGGTCAGATACCATGAGACTTCTGGACAGGTATTTTTCCATGAAATCGTCTTAATTGACAGAGTATACCTATTTACATTCAGTGTGGTCAAGAAGTCAGACTTTTCCGGCCAATAACATTCCCTCAGTATACGTTTTCAAGCCCTTGAGCATCCATTCAAATGGGCCCTTTTTAAAGAACATATGTAAATAAAAATTGGAAACTAAAGGCAATAATGTGTAAACCAAAGCATACATCACCTAGTACTGTCGATTTTAATGCAAACGTTGGTTGAATTATTATTCTACTTCTTAGATCCCTAAAGCAAATCAACAACTCTATGTAAAGGCAGCAAATTTCGTCGTTATCTGACGAGAAATTACGTACATAGGCACATCACAACCGAAATCATGTATTAAAAGCAACAGACTTACCTGATCATACTCAGATGAACCAGGATACAATGGCCAACCGAGGAAAAGTTCTGCCAAAACACAGCCCAATGACCACATATCGATTGCTTCATCAAAGGGAAGACCGAGTAGTATCTCAGGAGCGCGGTAGTATCGTGACTGGAGATAAGTATTCTGAACAGCCTTGGAGCTATGACATGCAGACCCGAAATCAATCACCTTGACGCGGTAACGCATATTTTCAGAGCCTGGGTTCACCAGCATTATGTTCTCTGGCTTTAGGTCGGCGTGAATTAATCCGAGAGTCTTCAGCTTTGAAAGTGCTGTTAGCACCTGTTGTGAGATAGGTCGGATTTCCGGCAACGTTAATGGGCGAAACTTATTCGATTTGAGGTATTCATACAAATTTTGATCTAGCAACTCAAATACAAAACACATATGATTCTTATGCTGGAAACATTCAATGGCTCTGACTATATTGTGTGATTCTGTGTCCTGTTGTGCAAGAGTTTGAAGAATCTGGATTTCTACATTACCTTGTCTCAGGTAAGATGGTAGATTTTTCAATATTTTGATAGCCACATAACGATTACTTGACTGACATCGGCACTTTACAACTTGTCCAAATGTTCCTCGACCAAGGAAAGCCAAGACTTCATAGGCCTCACTTCCAGAACTTAGCATCTCACCAACAACAATAGCATAGTCGCCCTCTGTTGTAGTCATTTTTGAGGTAGCTTTTGATGCCGTTATCTGCAGTGCATTCGTGCCCGCTACATTAGCCTGCATAGTACTGCCTGAAGAAAAATAAGCAACTGAACCACTTGTTGAAGTGACCCCCGAGGCTGCCGCATTGTATGTACAAACTTGTTGCTGCATAAACGAGCCGACATGATTTCCTAAATGATTAGGCAGATGGCTGTTTGGAGATGGTGGTACGTGAAGGCAATGAATCCTTGTGGCGGAAGAACCATCATGATCTTGGAGATTAGAATCATCTACTTTTCTTTTTTTGTGTGTAAGGTGGGTGTTTCTATTTGAACACATACTATTCTCATCTCTTAGGTAATCAATTTGTTTGTGAAAGCCAACAAGTTCTGAGTACTTGGGGAAACCAGAATGTTTTGCAAACTTTAGTTTATTTTCCTTGAAGACATGTCCCTCAGGATAAGATGCTTGTAAATCCATTGTATCACAGAATCACGAAGAAGTTAGGATACTTGAAACATCATTAGTCCTAAACACACCCAACAACCATAAAAACCTAATACGAGGAAAATCAACCTCGAATTACCCGCTTTTGAGAACCTAGCTCCTACTGATTCAAACAATGTCTGATAAGACCACCTTCCTATATAAGAAACCATTGATAGCATGCCAGGGGCTTTGAAATTTAAAGAAAAATTACCAATATGGAGAATTTATGCTTGCGGATTAGTTTGGATTCCGTAGATTACGCCGCAAGTTTGCAACAACACTTGTCGTAAGATGTGTAGCATGTCTATTATTGCTATTCCGTTGCGTCCCGGGTGAAACATATGGCTTCGACAACATATCTACCCTTTGCTACGTTTTCTGCCGTCCTCTTCAGATGGGTCCATGACTGACCAAACTCTCATCTTTTCTTCACACGATCTCCTCCGTGTCACCCTCCGAGCAACGACCCACTAGTCACTTCCCATCTGGATTCCACTCGAGGACCTGGCGTGCCATGCCGTTCGGCAGCATCCTCAATGTAGGGCCCATCCATTTCCATTTTCTTCTTCATATTTGTTGAGCAGTCGGCTCTTGGTTGGTTTGTCCCCATAATTTCTTGTTGCTTATTCTTTCTGGCCACTTGATCTTCAGAATGGGGTCAGCGAAGGTGGCGGCTATTGATGAAAGTCTGCAACCTATTGGGAACGCTTTATGAGATGCGTCAAGTTCCCCACCCGTATAGAAGAACCGATTCACATTGCTGTCGAAAATGCGAATCTTGTTCCTCACTCTGAAAGCGGAAGATTTCCAAACTGGTTTCAGATTGATAAAGGCATATCTCGCCTTTCCGATTCTGACTTTAACATCGTCTTCCGTTCCGAATCTGTGTAGTTAGAACGATGCTTCTCAGGTAAGTGAAGGAGGCAACCTCTGTTGAATCTCGTCCGTTGGTGGTGATTAGTGCTGGTTGTTTTTGCTGTTGGTTGGTTATCTTCATCACCTCCGTCTTCTCCATGCCCACCTGCAGTCCTATTTTCGCTGCCTGCTGCTTCAGCCATTTCGGTGGTGTTCGCTTGCAAGTCTTCCAGTTTGTGTGAAATTAGACATATATCATCTAGGAAACCAAGATCTTCTAGAGTCTTCTTATAAGTAGTCCAGCGTACTCCTATCTCCTCCCTCCCAACGCACAGTCTGACGCATAATCCAGTCCACCACAATTAAGAATATCATCGGTGATAATAGCCAGAGAGCCTTGTCTTACTCCTGAATGCACTTCGAACGCCTCGCTCAGTTTCCGGTTGTGGATCACTTGACACGTGGCGTCGTCATGGAGCCGTTGAATGAGGTTGACAAAGACTTGAGGTACGCCATAATGTTGAAGTAGCTTCCAAATTACTTCTCTATCTACCCCGTCGAAGGCCTTTACGAAGTCGATGAAGTTGAGGTAGATGTTTAACTGCCATTCTATGATTTGTTCAGTGACGATGCCTAGAGTTGCAAATTGATCAGCACATGATCTGCCTTTCCTGAATCCAGCTTGTTCTGGTCTGGTGGATTTCTGCATCCAATGCATCCCTTATTCTCTCCAAGATGATGAGACTTAGTATTTTACTTGGCGTGGACAAGAGCATTATTCCACCCAATACTTGCAGGATGAGGAGTAAGTTGGCTTACTTTGATAGCTTCACGAGGTAGCCTTTCATCCAATCGGTGAGTACCTTTCTTTCTCTCCAAAATTTTAGCAGTAATGGGGGGAAAAAATTTGCCGTAATCTTTGGTTTCGTTTTTTGGGCTTCGGGGGTAAAGCCGTCCGATCCTGCTGCCTTTCCGGACTTCAGTACCTTGATGGCCCCCAGGATTTTTTCTTTTGCTAGAAACGTCGTTTCCCCTTTCATTTCCGTGGGCTTTTGGGGGTAGCAAAGGGGTTAGGACTCCCCCCGACCCCCCAAATGGTTCGGGGTTCGATCCCCTGCCGACCCCCCCCTGATTTTTAAAGTCGGCCTAAAAAATTTGGACCCCCAAATCAAAGCTGAAAATTTCCTTTTTTTACCCAAAAAAAAAGTGGGGAATAAAGCTTAACCCAAAAAAAAAAGGGAAAAAATATTTTTTGAAGTAGCCCCCAAAAAGTAGGATTAAAAATTTTTTCCCCCTTGCTTTTACTAATAATTTTTACAGCAACCATTCAACCAAAAAATCAGGCCTTGTCAAAGAGCTTATCCCCTGGTTCCTATTGTTACGAAGACAGCCCCCACCGATAAATACTATGTAATTTCTTCGACTTTAATTCCAAAACACCAGTTGTCAATTTATTTGAAAATTAAACGATCAATTCATGGTTTTTTGCCCAAACCCAAACCATCAATTTTTTTAGAGGGAAATCAACCTGGCAGTCATCGTTTCATCGTTCGTTTTTCAAAAAAAAATTTAAAAAAATCAAAAATTTTTTATTACAACCTTTTTGTTGGTTGCATTTTGGGGTAAGGATAAATGATTCTCGAGTCGCCAATCAGTTTTTTGGTTTTTTCGTTGGTTAAAACGAAGTTTTTTTGAAAGTCTTCTGGGGACAGGGGGGGGTCCAGGGTAGAAAAGGCTGGAAATTGACAGTTTTTGGGGGTTGCCTGACAGTTTTTGATATTTTTCGTTCGTCTTTCCTGGTCCCTGAAAGTTTTTTTTGGACAAGTATTTTTTGGAATTTTTTTGGAATTTTTGGTAAAGTTCAAAAATGCCTGGGTCAAAAAAGGGAAAAAGCGTTTTAAAAGAAAAGAAAAAAAAAAATAATTGTGTGTTTTTTTTTAATTAAAAATATATGTTTGATGCCCAAAATGGGGGGTTTTTTTTTCTTGCTTCGCAGTTTAAATATAAAAGGCCTAAATTTGAACCTCAGTGTTTCGAAGGAAACCCAAATTACTATTTTTAGTTTGGAAAGGGGTTTTAAATTTTGTTGGGTTTTTTTTTATTAAGTGAAGAAATGAAGTTGATTTATTTGATGACGTACTGCACTTTACTTCAAGAGCTATACAGTGCTGTAAGTTCACGCCCCCTAACGAAGAATACTCCGACGCTATGCGTCAAAGATTCGGAAGATCTTCGATGATTGTAAGGAACGTATTCGAGGCTGTTAAGGGTAATGTTAGTCAATTACAAGATGACTCCAAGGCACTCACTGAGTTTCTGGATAATCTGATGACTTACAAGAATGCGTTGATTTCGATGAATTGCATGAGCGATCTGAACTAAAGCTCCGTCCTAGAGGTAATATCGAGACACCTACCTACTCGACTGCAAAGGAAATGGGTGAAGATAAGCTCCCGTATAGAGGATGAAGGTATTGAGTCAAAGTTTGATGATATTCTGAAACTGGTGAAAGACAGTGTCAATCAAGCTATGAGAAAGTTTGCCAGTACGTTGCATCCCACTCCTAGAATAGAGCAGTCTGAGGGCAAAACGCAGTCATTGATGACGAAAGGGTCTCAGAGAAGTGGATGTCCTGAAGGCTGCATGGTGTCTAGTAGTCCATATAAACTTCGTGAGTATAACAGCTTTCGTGAGACATCCCCAACAGAGAGGTTACAAATTGCGAGACAAACACGGTTGTGTTTCGTCCGTTTGCAAGAAGTGCAAACAAAGGTGAACTGTGAATCAGTGAGCAAGATTAGTAGTAGGCTAAATGCGAGGTCAGAGTCATCAAGTTCTGACTCCGAATTGTGTGACGATAATGGTGCGGTGAAGAAGCCTGTAGTTGCAACTGGTAAGCCATTGTTGAATAGTGTCACAAACGACACCACAGTTTGTGCAGAAGAAGAGAGTTACAGTTTCAGAGTCTAGTTCTGACTCCACAAGCTTACAAGGTATTACTAGTCAGAGTGAAGATATAAAACCTTTAAGGATTTGTGAGGAGGAACCAAAATTGTCTACTTCTGTTATTAAACAGTTTGAAAATGATGAAGTTGACCATATAAATGGCGGTAAAGTGGATATTTGTGACAATGATCATTATAGTGCACATTTGTCTTTGGCTGATCATGATGAGATGAGCGGAATGCCTACTACTGCTGAGTTGAACAAAAGTTCTGTACAACTTGAACGCGAAGTAGAAATAAAGGAAAATGTGGTTGCGGAAGGCATGAATACTGGTGAGACCGTCAGTATAAATGATCAGCGCATAGCCCACTATCGACTGATGTTAATGCGAAACTGCAACTAATCATAAAAGATAGTAGTGGCGGTAATCCTACGGCTAGATAACTTTCTAAAGATCGAACAACAATAGCTTCTGATGCACTGCTAAGTTCATCAACTCGTGTCAATCAGTCGTTGTCGGTGTTGTCGTTCACAATGATAGGGACGTAAATGAACTCAAGTGCCTTGTGCTGTTAATATGCCAGTATCGGTCCGTTTGAAAGGACGAATATCAATGGTCAGTTTAGTGAGGATAAGCGAACTGTGTATGAGAGTGTAATTGTTAAACTGACTTGCACGAATAAAGGCCTTTCTAGTTTCAAGTTACTATTTGAATGTTATTATCTATGATGTAAATTGCTCTGTGCCGATGCTTGGTTGGTCAGATACGTCGTGTGTTTGTTAGATATTTTCATTCCACGATACATTGTCGTGGGCGTGTCAACGTTCAGAGTTAAAAAAAAGATGACAGAAAGAGGTCAGCAGATCAACTCTGAGACGATTTTCCAACTTAAGGTGTGCTGCTGCAAGTCCTACAGTTCTTCAAGGGTAGTTCGTCAAGGCAGAATCCACAACATTTGATGTGCTGATTGCACATATGTTTGTGATAAATAATTGTGTAACTTCCAATTATTGTAATTGTTGGTTAACCTTGATTGTGCCCGGATATTCTTCAAATTACACTCGTCAACCTGAGAAGGGTTGCAGGCGTACTGGTGTAAGTCCTGCAATTCTTCAAAGGAATTCCACCAAGACATGATCCGCGAGGTTATTTGTACTGTTTGTATATATGTGTGGTGTGTCATATCATAATTTTGGCGCGCTCCTTGAATACGACGTGCTTTTTCCTCTCCAACCGGAAAATACCAATTCTGTGAATTATCCGTTTGGGAAACCTGATCTTCCTAGCCGGTGAATTTAATTCAACCATTACTTACATAGTAAATCT